TGTTCCCCAAGCCCATGGTCATTCTTGTTCCCATCTGGCTGGATCTCTTAGATCCCAGCCAACACAGCTGATTCCTCCCTCTTCCTTCCAACACTTTCTTCTCTTGCCTGCTTTTCCTCCTCCTTCATAGACGATTCCTGTCTCCTTTGCTAGCTCTGCTTTCTTTAGATCCTGAAGCGTTGGTTTATCCTAGGGTTAATCCTGAGAGCCTTCTCTTCCTTTTCCACACCCTAAATCCCTATCCAATCTAAATGCTGATGATTTCCAGCTATATGACTTTATTTTGTATTTCCACTTAGCCATTTAATGGAAATCTGAAAATTAAGATGTCCAAAATCATACAAAAAAGGAAGCAAAGATAAACAATGGGAAAAGGCTATGTCTTCAACAGATGGTGTTGGAGAAACTGGATAGCTACAAGCAAAAGAATGAAACTAGACCACTTTCTTACACTACAAACAAAAATGAACTCAAAATGGATTAAACACCCAAATGGGACACCTGAAACCATAAAACTCCTAGAAGAAAACATAGGCAAGAATCTCTGACATCAGCTGTAGAAACATTTTTCTAACTATGTCTCCTTTGGTAAGGGAAACAAAAGAAAAATTAAACTATTGAGACTATATCAAAATAAAAAGCTTTTGCACAGTGAAGGAAACCATCAACAAAACAAAAAGAAAACTTACTAAATGGAAGAAGATATTTGTGAATGACATATTTGATGAGGTGTTAATATTCAAAAAATATAAAGAACTTCTATAACTCAATACAAAGAAAACAAATAATCCAATTTAAAAATGGGTAGAAGACATGATAGACATTTTCTCAAAAAAGACATCCAGATGGCCAACAGACACATGAGAAGATGCTCAACATCACTCATCATCAGGGAAGTGCAAATCAAAACCATAAAGAGATACCATTTCATACCTATCAGAATGGCTAGTATTAAAAAGACAAGAAATAGCAAATGTTGGTGAGGATGTGGAGAAAAAAGAACTCCAGTGCAGCGGGTGGGAATGCAAGCTAGTGCAGCCACTGTGGAAAACAGTATGGATAGTCCTCAAAAAATTAAAAATAGAATTACCGTATTATCTAGTAATTCCACTTCTGGGTATTTACCTTAGGAATTTGGAAACACTAATTCCAAGAGATATATGCACACCTATGTTTATTGCAGCATTATTTGCAAGAGCCAAGGTATGGAAACAACCCAAGTCTCCATCCATAGATGAATGGATAGGGAAGATGTGGTATATATATACAATGAAGTACTACTCAGCCATAAGAAAAAATGAAATCTTGCCATTTGCAACAACATGGATGGATCTAGATGGTATAATACTAAGTGAAATAAGTCAGTCACAGAAAGACAAATACCATATGATTTCATTCATATGTGGAATTTAAGAAACAAAACAAATGAACACAGAAAAAAAGAGACAAGCAGAAAAACAGTCTCTTAACTAGAGAGAACAAACTGGTGGTTACCAGAGGGGAGGTGGTTGGGGGGATGGGTGAGCTAGATGAAGGGGATCAAGAACACACTTATCTTGGGGCACCTGGGTGGCTCAGTGGGTTAAAGCCTCTGCCTTTGGCTCAGGTCATGATCCCAGGGTCCTGGGATTGAGCCCCGCATCGGGCTCTCTGCTCAGCAAGGAGCCTGCTTCCCTTCCTCTCGCTCTCTGCCTGCCTCTCTGCCAACTTGTGATCTCTGTCAATTAAATATATAAATAAATCTAAAAAAAAAAAAGCGCACTTATCTTGATGAGCAACTAGTATAGAATTGTTTAATCATATTGTACACCTAATATTAACATAACATTCTAAGTTAATAACAGTTGAATTTTTAAAAAATGTCCAAGAGTGAACTCCTTTTTGTGGCATATACTCCCCCGACTCCATTTCTATAAATGATATCACTACTCATCTCGAGCTCCAGCCAAAAATTTGGCTGTCATCTCTATCTACTTCTATCCTTTCCTTTTCACACTAAATCAAACCCACCAGCATGATGGATTTTATCCTCCCTTCAAAAAGTATTTTGAGGGACGCCTGGCTGGCTCAGTTGGTTAAGCGGCTGCCTTCGGCTCGGGTCATGATCCCAGCGTCCTGGGATGGAGTCCCACATCCCGTTCCTTGCTCAGCAGGGAGTCTGTTTCTCCCTCTGCTTCTGCCTGCCACTCTGCCTATGCTCGCTCTCTCTGACAAATACATACAATCTTAAAAAAAAAAAAAAGTATTTTGAATCATTCACTTCTCTCTGCCTCCATCATTATACCTAAGCCAGACCACCATGATCCTAATGGACTATGAAACAGGCTTCTAGCTTTGTTTCTACCTGTGCCCCCATACAATACATTTTCACCTAGAAGCTACAGCCATCTTCTTAGAATGTAAAGCACATCACCTCCCATCACTTTTCATCATTGACTTCCCAAAGAACTTAGAACAAATCCATCTCCCCATATGGCCTGCCAGGCCCCTCACAACTGGTCCAGCCTGCTTCCTGGGATCTGCACCTGCCCCTCCCCCTTGTCCTGTATACACCAGCTACGCAGCTTCCTGAACATGCCAGGTCTGAGGGCCTGGGACTTAATAGAGCTGTCACCTCTGCCCAGAGTGCTCTCCCCTAGATCTCTGCATGGCTGGTTCATTTTTATAACTAGGTCGCCTCTTCAGCAAATCCTTTCCTATCCACCCACTCTCAAATAACCCTTTCTGCCACAACAAAGTCCCTCTGTTTTAGGCTCACTATTTCAGGTATTGCTGTTTTCCCCATGTTTCCTATCTATTTATTTAGTGCCCCTCCCCAACTAGAATGCATATTATCTATTTGCTCACCAGTGTGCCGCCCTGGTCAAGTAACTGCACAGAACTGTCAACTGAATGAAAGAATGAATCACAGTCCGTGTAGGTACTCATGACAAAAAATTAGGAAAGAACCCTCATATTTTCTCCAGTCCTTCTTGGAAACTGAAGGATAAGGGTGAACGCAGTCACCCAGGGAAGCATCATGAGGTCCGTGCTTGTCTCTAAAACACGTTGTGTCTTAGTCTGTTAGGGCTGCCATAAACTGGATAGTTTATAAACAACAAATATTTCTTTCTCACTGTTCTTGATGGAGGCTGGGAAGTCCAAGACCAAGTCACAGGCAGATCCAGTGTCTGATGAGAGCCCTCTTCTTGGTTCGTAGAGAGTTGTCTTATTGCTGTGTCCTCACATACTAGAAAGAGCAGGGAGATCTCTGGGAACTCTTTTATAAGGGTGCACTAATCCCATTCATGAACCATCCACCCTGAAGACTTAATCACCTTCCAAAAGGTGATACCATCACACTGAGTGTTAGGATTTAACATGAATTTTGGAGAGACACAAACATTCAGTCTACAGCCACGTAAGAGCCCTTAAGGTCAAATTCAGGACTCCCTTGTCTATATTATGTTTTCGAGGACATAGATTCACCTCCATGCTAATGGTTTTTAAAAATGGGGTTGTCGCTGAAAGGTAGTGTTGAAAGGCTGGAGTCAATTACTGGGTACTCACTTGTTGTGCGGTCTTGTGAGATCTTAACCTTAATGTGCCTCAGTTTTCTCATCTGCAAAGTGGAGATAAGTACTTACTCCCAAAGGACTGTGGAGCGAATTAAAAGTTATATTTATGATGCACTCAGAGCAGGGCCTGGCATACAGGAGGTGCTCAGTAATTGTTCGCTCTTTCTTGTCAGGAAAACCAAGCGTGGCAATTCCCTGCAGACTTGGACCATCTCCGCTGCCACTCTAGACTTCGTTCAGCATCTTGAAATTTTGGCCACTGTCTCAGCTTCTCCTGTGATGGCAGAAGATCACAACCTTCACGCACAGGGCTGGCAGATACAGGGCTAACCTCCCGCCACCCCCTGCCCCTGCCTTGAATTCTCCCAGTGTCTTAAAAATCTATACCCTTCTAAGTTACCAGGTGCCAAAGAGTATGAAACCAAGCCCTGAAACACAGAGAATACCAGTCTCTATTTGAATAAACTGAACCAAGAACTTTTGATCTTATGGTCAAATCTACTGCCTCAAAATTGTTCATCTGAAACATTCTGTTAATAAGGGAAATGGTGGTTTGGGGTAGTAATGGCTAGTTAAACTTGTTAAACTTATTTATGTCTAAACTGTTGGAGCAATTCTAGATGGACAGAGTTTTTGTTTAGAGCACATTTATCATGGCATTCAATAGTGATGTTCTCTATGAGACTGAAATTAATAAATCAATCTGGTTAGGAAAAAAAAGAGCTACCCAGGGACTTTTTCAATAAAGGAAGTCTTAATCAAGTTCTAGTTGATCAAGATCAAGTGTAGTTCTAACAGCTAGAAAAATAATTATTCAGGAGGATAGAAAGTACAATAAAAGTAGAACTCAGGGTATATAAAATCAAATTATAGTGTCTATAAAGTCTTACTTATTTTGGTGGCTACGTGCTCCCAGCTGTACATATTCTTATGAAGATTAGCTTGTTCAAAGGAACAAATTGGAAATATTTTTAAAAATAGAGGTATTACATAACTCAGACACAATTCTGAGATCCTAAATATACACTCTTCCTCTGCTGGCTTCTCCACATTCTACATTCATGGGTCATCCTGGCTAATACACTGATAACCTAGTTTTCAACAGAAATGTGCAGGTTCGATTAATTTGATACTCAAGAATTACAACTTTTTAGAAATTTTATATTTTTAAATGTTGTACCAAGTAGATGAAAACAGGAAAAAAATATCCCACATTATCTTCCAAAAATAACACTGAAATTTTATAGAAAAAAAGAATCTCAAAAAACCCCAGATCTACCCAACTGATATTCTACAGTACACACACACTGAATTACACACACACACACACACACACACGCACACGCACACACACACATTGAAATTCTATACGCTGCATTTCACTTGTTGCCGGAGGACATTCTCCAAGTGTCAGCAGAAAGAACATTTACACGTATGACAGAGGCATGTTTGAAACCTTTTATTGAACAGGCAATACATTGTGCAATGGTTAAGGACACAGATGCCTTGTGGAAAAGTTTAAAAATTATTTTTGGAAACAGTCTGTGAATTGATGAACCCGGCTATGTTCCTTCCACTCCTTCGTAGAATGACTATCTTCAGGAAGACGGTTTTATAGCTGCTCTTGGAAACGGCATCCCTGTTTTACCAAAAATGTCATGCCTAATAGTGAACATGAAAGGAGAAGACGGGATCCACAGGCAAGACGAGAACCGGAGACACAGGTTGATCTCAGGTGGAAGCACAGACACACATTCCCCTGAAAGACCTTCTCCTCTGACCTTGCAGGCGCTCCTGACTTAGGCATTCATGGTTCACTGCCACTCTCTTCCTGTCCGAGCCCTCTTTATCAAGGCGATTCTCAAAGCCTCACATTCATACCTTTGGGCACAGGACCTTGTTCCTGGCCCTTTTCAATGGTGTTCTTGTTTTAGGGCACCTCTGGCCCAGGATTGTGGCTGTGTGACTGTCTTTGTTGGCCTGGTTCCTTCCTCTTCCCCAAGTTCGCTCTCCCCTAACTTGATGATAAAATCACTCTTCAGTTTCACAGTTTGTTTGCCTTGATTTACCGGCAGTTTTTGACTCAATGACCCGTCAAGGAAGTGGACATTCTTTAGCAGCAGGCTGTCAGCCTATTTTATAATTTGGGGCATGTCACTCCAAGCTTGAGATTTCTTTCTGGCAAGTTCCATCCAGGACGGCTGATCTGCACTGGCATAACTGGCTCTCTTCAGCTGATGCAATTCCTTCTCCGTCATCACTGCAGACTGAGCTGCTGGAAAGAAGACAAGACAAACAGAAACACGAGAAATGAGTTTGGATTTCCACTTAAGCCTCTTGTGTTTCTTTATAATATACGTCAAGGTCTTAACTGTGGTCTCAAACGTAAAATCCATTAATGCGCAAACATGTAAAGAAGATTTAGGCATAGAATAATTTATATAATAAAAAGTCTTAAGAACAGCAGGCTCAAAAACAGTTCCAGCAACGCAGAGAGGTGAGAGAAACTTCCAGAATAAAACTGTAGGAACTCTGAAGATTGGTTTGCACCACAGTGTGTATATTCTTAACACTGCCAAACTGTATACTGACAAATGGCTAGGATGGTAAATTTTGTCATATGTGTCTTACCACAGGGAAAAATAAATTTAAAGATACAGATACATGTGACAATAGAGATGAATCTTGAAGACACTATGCTTGGTCAAAGAAGCCAGATACAAAAGAATACATATTTTATGACTCCACTTATGAGAAATGTCCCTAAAAGACAAGTCATACGCAGACAGAAAGTAGATTAGCGGTTGCCTAGCCCTGGGGTTGAGGACGGTGAATGACTGTAAATGGGCATGAGATTTCTTTTTAGAGTGAGAGAAGTGTTCTAAAATTGGATTGTGATGATTGTACACGTCAGTAAATATATTCTCATTGTCAATATATACTTGCTGAACCGTACATTTAAAACAGGTGAGTTTTATGGCACCTAAATGACATGTCAGTAAAAGCTGTTTAAAAAATCAATGTGGCAAAGTGATTTGGAAAAAGAAAAGAAAACAAACAAACAAAAAGTGCAGGACCAATCCTGGAAAAGCATCTCAGTGTCTGGTACTGCTTGTAGACTTCTTACCCAAGTTCTGATGGGACAACGAGATTCCTCTTTGCAGCCCCTCCTGGAGGCAGAGCTTTGTCCCCTGCCTCCGGTCCCCAGAGGGCTTGGCAGGAGCCACCAGGAAAGACTTGCTGCGGATGAAGTCGGCTGGCTTCGTGGGCTCCTATTAAGACACAAGAGAGATACACACTGTTTGGTCACCCGAGAGTCCCACAGGGGGCAAACACAGCCAAAGGCAACGGGCTACGGCATTTCTAGACAAAGGTGAGTCATGCCCCTGGTACTCTCTTGGCAGAGCTGACTTGTGCCCTTGCTGAGAGGGGCCTTTAGAATGGCAGACTCAGACTGGCATATGGGGTCCTGTGTTCAGCCCACACAGACATCATGGCTTCTGCTCTGCCCCACACCTGGCCTCAGCCCCTGTCGGATGGCAGGGATTCTATTTAAAAGTCAGAGTGAACTGTGTCAAAGTGAAATAGTTTTGAGATTTGTGATAACTGGTATGAATGAAGATGCCCCAAACCAAGATGATGGGTTAATTGGCTTTATAAATTCCCTTAGCCTGCAGGAAGGTTTTCAAGTTAGGTACGATGGAGGTTTAGTTCCAGTGAAGGGAAACAGGTCCTACTGCAGGTTCAGGCTCATTTTCTCACATGGCTGAAACATGCTTATGGGTTTATCATGGTGGCTATTCAGGGGAATACAAAAGCTGTGGGTCTCATCCTGCTTCTAAGTGTAGTTGCTTGGGTTTGAGAACACTGTTTCCATCCAAAGTGTGAAGCAGAAACCCAGGTCCCAGCCCTCCAGCTCAAGGTGAGGAACAAGGAGCCCAGCAGGCAGCCAGCAGAGCAGTAAAAGCAGGGCTCGTCCATCACCACACAACGAGCCAAGATGGAGCTGCTGACATGGTCTCCAAGCTTCTAACTGAGAAGTTCTTTTACCCTGTTCCATGTCTCCTGATGCTGAGCTGTGTTGCCTTGGAGGCAGGGAGAAGAGAGCTATGTCCGCTGCCTCAGCAATCCAGCCACTTCTAACAGCGCAGCACACAGAGGGGGCAGACATCAGCAATCATCACAGGCAAGGGTCCTGGTGATGACCAAACAGAATGCGTGGGGTGCCAGGCCCCAGCTCCAGCTGCCTGGTTCCTCCTGTACCTACAGAGACAGAAAGCATTTGCTCTAAGCACCTGGGCTCTCTCGGGTACCTTGGCTTGTTTTCCTATTTCAGACTTCAAGGTGCGGGTCCCGGGCTTGTCTTCCTGGTTTGGGGGCTGGTCTGAGGTCCCTCGTCGCTTCTGCCGAGCGATGGTGATCCAGGGTGGTGCAGGCTGGCCCTCAGCTTCAGGAGGAGGACCCTTCTCTGTGGGTAAAGACACAAGGTTATGCAAAACATCCCAGGCCCTGTCGCATCTCACCTTTGGTTTCTCCCACACAGAGAACACTGCACAGAGGGGCTGCAGGCTGGGATAGGTGAGGCAGGAGAAAGAGAACCCGGGAGCCTTTCTGGAGAGACTATTATTTTTCTTTAGGGGACTTGGTTTTCTCATTTAAAGATGCATCAAAGAGATGATGCTCCTCTAGTCTGAGCCACAAAATATTAAACGCAGCTGTTCCTACACGCACATTTTAAAGCCACCTTCCTCCCATGGCATACTTTCTGGAATGAGACAAAAGTAAGTACATAAATAGATAAGATTTCTTTAATATAAGTCTGTCATTTTGGGCTAGTACATACTACGTGATTCCTTATTTGCTTGGAAGTTTTGCAGACACACGGTTATTCTTTTTTCTAAAAACTGTAAACATAACCTTCCTTTTGCAGAGAGTCACATCACAAGAGCCACACTTGTTTTCCTTAATGTTCCGGAGAGGAGAGAAATGGTGCCTTTAAAACTTTCTTCAAGGAAACCTATGGATTAAATAGTGGCTTCTCACAGGTATATCAAAAGTACGCCGAATCTGAAGGTTCGCCATGACCCTGCTTCTCGGAATGTTTGCCTGTCACCACACAAAACAAAGACAGAAGTGCACCCCCACCAACAGTGTAAGAGGGGGAGATGCAGCAAGATGTTGGGAATAGAGCTACCCTATGACCCAGCAATTGCACTGCTGGGTATTTACCCCAAAGATACAGACATAGTGAAAAGAAGGGGCACATGCACTCCAATGTTCATGGCAGCAATGCCCACAATAGCCAAACTGTGGAAGAAGCCGAGATGCCTTTCAACAGATGAAAGGATAAAGAAGATGTGGTCCATATACACGGGGACTATTACTCAGCCATCAGAAAGATGAATACCTAACATTTGCATTGACACAGATGGGACTGGGGGGATTACGCAAAGTGAAGTAAACCAAGCAGAGAAAGACGATTATCATATGGTTTCACTCATACATGGAACATAAGCAATAGCACAGAGGACCACAGGGGAAGGGAGGGAAATCCAAAGGGGGAGAAATCAGAGAGGGAGATGAACCATGAGAGACTATGGAGCCCCTAGAAACAATCTGGGAGTTTCAGAGGGGAGGGGGTAGCTGGGTGATGGGTATTGAGGAGGGCATGTGTTGTAATGAACACTGGGAGTTATATGTAACTAATGAATTATTGAACACTACATCAAAAACTAATGATGTACTATATATAGTGGCTAACTGAACAAAAGGAAGGAAGGAAGGAAGAAAGGAAGGTGAAAGAAAGAAAGAAAGTAAGAAAAGAAAAGAAAAAAGGAAAAGGAAAGGAAAGAAAAGGCATCCCCATATGCCTGGCCCTCGCCCTTTACACTTCCCCTTCAACATCTTGGTTGGCAAGGGGAAGGCAGGATCCATGTCACAGCAACGCATGCAGAAGTCTGGGATGAGTTAGTGTTGTTCTTGGTGGCCTGACATTCGCCACCCCTTGCTCTGCTGTGATAGGATATGACTCTATTTGTTCTTGTTCCTGCCTCCAGTTCAGCCTGCAGTCTCTTTCTTTCTGTTCACACAGGGGCCACAGGCCAGGATGGGTGAGGCAGGAGGAAAGAGAACCCAGGAGCCTTTCTGGCAAGACTTCTACTTTTCTTTAGGGGACTTGGTTTTCTCATTTAACGATGCATCAAAGAGATGATGCTCCTCTAGTCTGAGCCACAAAATATTAAATGCAGCTGCCCCAAAGAGGGGACAGCAGCCACAGCTTGGCAAGCTTCAGTTTCATGTCAGAGTTGGGAAGGGCCTCTGGCTTCACACACTGACCTTTCTCTGGCCTGGACAGCTAGGAATGGCTCCTGCTCTCCTGGCTGCTCCCTGGGGCCTCCACCCCACTGGACTGGTCCCCAGGGAATCCCGCTCTATCTCTTCCATTCGCCCCTTGACCCTTCCTGCCTCTTCAGGCTCTCCCTGGCTCTCCTCTCTTCCTTGATGTTTTGCAAAGTGCCTGGCTCTCCCGTGGCTTGAAAGGAACTGTCTCCACTGAGCCTCACTAACCTCTGTTCTTCTCCACCCTCCGCTCCAGTGGCCTCGGCCTGTGTCTCTTCAGCTAATTCCTGATGGGGCCACACCACAAATGCTGCTCTTTCCATCCACCTGACCGCTAAACCATAAATCCCGAGGTCTCCCCATTCTCCATCTGCTCTACCCCTCGCAGCACTGATGGAGCTGCATAACCTTGCTTGGGAGGCCTGCCCTCCATGGGCATGCCCTCTCCAGGTCCTTGTCCAGGACTCTTGCTCCCAAACCTGGGAATTCCTCCTTCCTCCTGACCCTTTTAAGTTTCATCTCTTCTTCCCCCAAATGTTCTCTGTTCCATGCTTGATTTCAACACTCAGATCTTCTCAGACTACTTCTAAGTGTACAATCCTTTCTGTTAGCCAGAGCCCAACATTTCTGCTCTCTTGCTCCTCCTGCCTACCCCCCTGCTCCTTCCATCCTTCCTGCTCTCCCTCCTTCCAGGGTTAATGTGTAAGGACTGTGTTAAAAGCTAAGGTGGAAACATAAACCACCAACTGTCTGTTCTGTCAAAATCTCAGTCTATTGGGGGAGACTAAATACAAATAAGCAGCTGTGGTGGAAACTGGAAGATGCTAGAGTTTACTAAGTGCTGGGTGAGGAAGGGCCTGACACTGGTACGTGGCAGGTGAAGTGGTGTCTAGGTTGGGACCTGGAGAAGGAACCTTCCAGGCTGAGCAGAAGGGTAAGGAAAGGTCTCCCAGGTGAGGGGGGCAGAAGGCAGAGTTGTGGGCAGGCTGGCCGTGAGGGGCTGAATGATCAGGCACGAGGCAACTGAGAAAGGTCTTCTTGGTCTTTCTCCTGTCCATCATGGGGAGCCATGGGGTTTGAGCCAAGGGGACACCCTGGAGGCTGTGTGGAGAAGGAGTCTGACTGGAAAGGGATGGGAGGCTGGGAGGAAAGGAGGGAGGCTTTGGCCACAGTCTAGGAGATGATGAGGGACTGGACACCCTGTTCCAGAATCATCCCTGTTTGCCTATGAAGTGTCTGTCCAGATGCTGCCTCCTCCATGAAGCCTGCTCTGTTCAGCCTAGCTGAACATGCTTTCCTTTTCTGAATCCTTCTGTGACTCTCAAGAGATTTTCCTCACAGCTTGGTGCTAAATATATCTGCTCTTTCACTGTCTACCTTACCGATCTATGCTTTTGGTCACTAGAACTTCTTATTTACTCAACAGACACACTCCAGAGACTATGCACCCTGCACTGTTCTAATATCAGCTCATTTATGAGGTTCTTTTATATTTTGTCTCTTGTCCAGAGAACCCAATGATTGTCAGGCACATAGAAGGCGGTTCCATGTTTTACAGAAAGTCTGCATTTCTCATCCCTTAATCTCAATCCCTCATTCCAGGGAGTCCTCATGGTCTTTCTGGACTTTAATTTTTTCCTTAAACAGGTTTCTTTCCACTTCTCCTTTGATTTCTTCCTCACGCTCAGTGACAGTCGTGCTTTGCTCCCTCCTGGCCCAAGGGAGATGTCTGGTGGTACCGTTCTCCCTGAGACTTTGCCACAACACAGGGCTACAGGAGAGAGGGCTTTCACTATGGGTTCAAAGTCATTACCTCAGCCAACAAAATATTCCGAATAGTTCTGTTAAGACGAAGTGTGCACAGAGAGAAAATTCCCATCCTGAGTTTTAAAGTGGAGGTTGAGCAGCATCTCTGAGTTCTCTGGCTGGCTCCCCAGACCCTCGGATCTGTGTGGCGCCATGGACACACATATCACTCTCATCGCAAGGGCACAAGATAGCTCTGATGAACTCCTAAACATTATCGGAGCCAAAATGAGTATTTAAAAAAATCACTGGCAAAGGTTCTGTAGAACAGGGGCTCTGTGGGAGGTCTACGACAAGGCGGGGGATTCCAAGGGCAGACTGAGGCTGGGGGCCCTCGGGGACCAGGGGCATATCCTGTTCTCCTGTCCAGTGTGCTTACGGAAACAGCAGTCTTGTAAACAATGCAACCAGGTCAGGCTAGGCAAGAGGTGGTTTTTCCTTCCTCACACTGAGAGAACGCTGGCAGATTTCATCCCAAGCAGGGAAGGGGCACGGGCCTCTGCTCTGCCTGTCAGTGGGCAGCCACGTTTCTGGTGTCCTCTGTGTGTAAGCGTGAGCACATGCCTCCAGCGTTCACGGGCAGATGCATGGGAGTGAGTGAGTGCTGCACCTGCGCTGGACCAGTGTGGGATCAAGTGACCTACAATGGCAGCCTCCCCAAACCTGGGCCTGGCATAAGGCCAAGATCTTTCACCAATCACTTCTCTTTTGGAAGTAAATGGCCTTTCCTTGTATTCTGTACTCTGTCCTTGCCCACTTTGCTCCTTGTCAGGAATGCAAGCAGGCCACAGGGACCCTGACAGCCTCTCCCTTTCACAGGACGGTCCAGGGGCAGCCTCCTGGGTGGAGGGCACAGGGAGGAGGGGTGGGCGAGATTCCAGACCCTGGGGTAGGAGGGAGAAAAGCCACAAAGCATCCTGCCATTGTACCAGGGTTCAAAGAGGCCTGCGATTCCACCTGGAGGTTCATGTAACCCACATAAGTACCTGTCTCAGGTCAACCCAGGCAGAGCATCTGGAAGAGACTCTGTTCTGATCTGTGGTGGAAGGCCCAGGTGGTCTGCACACCCTTCCCTGCACTTGGCGCCACAGCAGGGGCAAGGGTTGAGGGAGGGTGCGTGTGCCATACTCCACAAGGAAAGGGAGGAGAAGGGCATCGAAGACACAGGTAGTGTTATCCTGATAACACAGGTTTCAGATGACAAAAAACTTCCTAGGTGATAGCTCTACAGCATGAATACTGTAGGGTCAAGGTTCAACCATAAAATAGCTTCTGAGATTAAGCATGTTCAAAATGTCATTAATCCCAAGATAATATAGATGT